TTTTCAGATTTATTTTGTCACACTTTTAAACATTTAAGGTTGACAAAATCAGTTAACTGATTTTCAAAAATAGCCTTGCCCATCTTTATGAATTTACATAAATCTACCATTATGTTAGTCGTCGACATGTCTCGATGACAAATGGATCAACTGACTACCACTGCCATGCCTTACAGGCATCAAATAGTTCCCTAACAAGGTTTGTAGTGTGAGTATGATGACTTGACAAGGAATGGTATAATCAAGACACCTGTCTTTCCCTGCATTCCACACTGTCAGTCATACTGTTATAGGGCCAGCCTGGCACTGATCATGGCTGCTGCCCCCATCAGAGTCCTCATCCAGGTGGACTGTGGAGGAAGATTGGCCATGACATTGTAATATCTCCTGTCCAGATAATTGCCTGTCCAGACTGTTTCTAATTGTCTGGGTATTGGTCACTAGTGACCAGTTGTGTGTACCTATTGCTGTGGTCAGCAGCTGGCCGGGTCATATAGCTCGTATACACTGTTCCAGCAACAGATTGACTGAATAAATCTTGCTTAGCACCAACAGATACAGACAGATCCTAACTGTTGTCCAGTTAGCTACTGCTAATGTCAGCCGCAATGGTCATGCATACCATTCCTGTTTGCACCAATCAAATCGTTATCCATAAATAACAGGCTGATTATCTCCCCCTGACTGCCCACTCTTCAGCTTAACAGTAAAGAAGGTAGTTTTGACATGATTATGTTGTTCTTGAAAGAGCCTCTTGACATGTTCTGTGGCCATGGGTAAAAGGGTTGTTTGGACATGGAATGAGTGGTCAAGTTTTATTGTGTTGGTCTTGGAACAGTGGTCAGAGTTATGTCTTGGTCAGTTTGCACTGTCCATGACTGTTCAGTGAAGCTAGGAAGTCATTGGGGTTAAGATGATGTCCGGAATGACATGCCATTTGGTGAAATTGATGAATGTTGATTTCACTCAGTGAGAGAGTAAAGTAATGATGTTTGCTTTCCATCATACTTAGTTATGTCGCTTATTTCAGTTTGACATGAAGTTGCCTCTCTGAAAAGTGTAAATGCTCACTTGGATTAAATTTGATTCGAGTAAGATTTTAACAGTGGAATGATTTCAAAGAAAGGCAGTTCTGAGTTGATCAAAGACTTGCAACACAGGAATGTTTGTTTGACATTGATTTTTTAAATCAATATGAGGAATAAGGTTATTGATGTTGGATAAAATACAAACTGATGATCTTTGTTATCTTTGATGTGGAGGATTTCAAACACAGCTCTTGCATGATTTGTGTATTCAAAATTCATGTCTGAACAAATGACAGATTTGTAAAAGTATTGAAAGAAATTATCATTGTGATTGAATGCTGGATTATGCTCCTTTTATATATTTGAAACAGCAAATTGTTATTGAATAGTTCCTACCTCATCAGAGCCTCTAGTCATGGTGGTGCAATGTCAGTGTGTGGAGCCTTTAGCCTTTGTCTCATCTTTTCTGAAAGTTAGTTCTTTGGCTAAGGCTTAAAATATCACCTGCCAATTAAATTTGGTCAACCTTTGTTGCTAACCTCAGTCTCTTCACAGAATGATTTTGTGCAAGAACAAATACTTCATTTTCATAATATATATCAATATAATCCATAATATTTGAAAGAAGCATTCTCAAATTGACATTTTATCGAAACATTTTCCTGATCACTGCCAGTCCACAGAACATATATCACTAAAAGTAACATCTGGCTTCCGGGGTAATCCGAAATGTCAATCTGGATTGAAAGCAAAAAACGTATGAGCATAATTGTTTGAATTATTGGCGTGTGAGATAGTTAATTTGGATGACAGATGATATATACAACACTGATAAAGCTGAACACTCTGTCTCTTTAATCCCATTGTCAATTCTTCCAAGTTCCTAACATACATACTTCTCATTAAATATTGACATCTTGTCATTCCCCACGGCAGTCTGCTGTCAACATTAGGGCACAAGAACATGGTGTGAACCTGGATGTATATCTGTTTGGTTGGTAGTTCATCTCCCAGGTCTACAGTTGACATGCTTTCAGCTGAAAGGTCAGCCTGACCCAGGAATATATGGCCTCTGGCATGAAGCTTTGTTTAACTCTTTCACAGGAGATAGATTTTTACTGATTTAATGCAGAAATTTCTTAGTAATGATTTTTCTTCTATCTCAGTCATAATCATGTATTATGCTGAGTATTATAAGATTTAAGTTTTGATAAATTCAAAAATTATGGTAATGAACTGATAAGACTTTGTGAAATGAGCAAATATGTTTTTGTGGTGTATTTGACAAACACACAGGGTTAATCTGTAGCGGTGACATCCTGTGCTTTTACTTGAGATGACAACATACATGGTATTTACATTTCAGATTTGCAGCTTCATATGTAAAAGATATGTGACCCTCTCATTGAAATTCCTGCATAAAGACTATGAATGTTAAATTTAAACAAACTTGCGCGTCTCTCATCACAATTGCATACATGGTGAAGCTTTTCAGTAAACAACCTGCATTCTCTCACTCCAATTTGAAACTCTAAATGTGACAGTTTTTCAGCTGTTGAGAGAGCACCTCCTACAGTAGGGCAGTGGCTTTCAGGGGTAGAGTTTGTGTAATCTGTAATGTCATATTGAATGAAGAGACGGCATCTATCAATGTCCGTACTGGAATATGGAAGAGAGCTCATGACAAGGGTATCATTATCTAATTCCAAAAACATGTTTGACCACAGTGATATCAATGACACATTACAATATCACTTATCATATGTATCAGTCAGGCCTTTATGTTTGTCGTGTCATATGTGACATGCTTTTAGTGATTTTAGATGACACTGTTGACTTTGTCATTGATACGAAGACATGCTTGCTTGAAAGGTGACCTTTAAACTTAGAATATTCCATCTTTAAAAAATCCATATCTTGAATGTTTTGTATGGACCATCTTAATTATTTGACGGAGACAAAATCATATGTCACCTATGTGACTTAAAGTTTATGACTTTAAACTTTTTGAAAATTTTACCAAATGCTTCCATTTGCAATTTGTGATTCAGAAGCTGTCTGATTTCTGTTAACCTTGCTCAAAGGCTGTACTAAAAGAGTGCATGAGAGAGTTAAGATTTATAGTCACATCAGCAGTATTACAGCCATATCGTGACTCCCAACAATTTACTGTACTAAGTCCACGGATGTGAAGTAATTCTTTTCTCCTAATAGGCAAGTCTAGATATGTGGACAAGGACTCCAGTCTCTTATAGGGACAACTTGTTGTTATTATTTACATGCTCTGGAACTAGAACTAGAAATTATTATTTAAACTAAAAATTATTGCCAAAGAGACTTGTGGGTGTCTAGATTTCTGTCAATGGTTTGGGTTTAGTCCTATGAAACATGTTGTTGAAATTACTCTCACTTCCTCCATATTTGTTCCCATATATATAGAGGCCGTAGGAAATTCTTTACAGTTTAACAAAACATTATATTATTGCACATCAATAACAAAGTTTTTCCAAACAGTTTGACAGGGCAATTCATCTCCTTCCTCTGTTTCTGTATTAAAGTGCAATAAACTGATTCATTCATTCAATTCAAATGATAAAAACACTTTATAATGGTACCTCTGAGAGATGTAAACCGCATTACATCCAAATGTATTTTTTAAATTAATACAATCAGGTATTTTTATGATTTATCACTTATCAGTATAATCAATAATTTCAGCTTATGATGAGTTAGAGTACAAAAATGACAATGGCAGAGGTAGCAGGATTATTTCAACCTTTGTGACAGTTACACATAGGCCGCCATGTCAGACCCACATAACCTTGACTGAAGCTTGACAGAGGGCAATAAAAGTGTACTGGACCAGTTATATGTGTAAGCTTTAGTAGGAGCAAATAGAACGCCAAACAGCTGGGTCTTGTAGGAGATCACTAAATCTCCACAAAAGCCATGCCAGCTAATTACATTCAGCATATAAACTCAAAGTCCAGGTATATTCCATTTTGATTTAGATCCATTGTCTGTTGACTTGAGTCAGAATGCATCGGAGACTGTTTCAGCTCGCTGCTTGATGGTACAATAGATAGATAGATACCGACTCTGGAGGTGTATATTACCTGCAAGGCAGTTGTTATTCTATTAATGGTCTCAATAAGACCTAGGATTCCCATAAATTGACACAGGAAGAAAGGTTTACTTGTGTTTTATGAGTAATGGTATGAACCCTGCTTTTTCGTATTTGCTACTAGAGAAAGAGGCTGCTTGGAAATATATTCCTCTAGATAAATAGTTTTATCAATATTTCCTTTTTAAAGGCACTGTGATATGTGGTATTATTTCATGGTGTTCTGTAATGAACTAAGAGATGTTTGTATTGAATGTAGACAGTGTCTACTGTTTCACTTCAATGTCAATAGAAGGGAAATTGGAGGGAAACTGTACACACAGAAAGTGGTATAAGCTCAGTTATACAAGAATCTTTTCGGGAGGTGTTCTAAGTGTAGAGAATATCCATGACATGTTGATATGTTGACCATCATTGTAGACAGTGCAGATTGTGTGGAACTTATTTTTATAAACCCCAAGAATTACAGACATAGATCTTGATACTAAAGACTTGGGCCCCGTTCCATAAAGTGATCGTAGCGTTAAGACGATCGTAACTCCCATACTTTAACATAGACTTACGACTGTCGTAGCGCTACAATAGCTTTGTGGAACGGGGCCCTGGGCCCTATTCCAAAAGGAATTTTGGCGTTAAGATGATCGTAACTTTAACATAGGCTTACAATAGTCGTAGTGCTTAGACCTCTTTGTGGAGCGGGATCCTGTATGTGGATTGGCAATCAGGCTCAAGAACTTTGGCAAGGTCTTGGTGGCTGTAGGAAGTGAGTTGAAAAACATTGGACAGTTGAGATTGTAGTGTGTTAATGAAACTGTCTTCGGTGATTGTAAATCAGTCTTGTGTTCCAGGTCCAGGAGCATATGATCAGAAGATTCAGAAAAGCCACAAAGGAGGTCTCATAGTGACCAGGGACAAGAGGTTCAAGGACATAAAGTCAGAAGCACCAGGACCAGGAGCTTATGAGGTGAGGACATCCTGGGACTACCCCTACATGGGGTTCCGGGTTAGAATAGGCCCCCAGCAACCGATGCTGGTCGTAAGAGACAACCAAATGTCTTGTTGGTCAGATTTGTTGACTTTTTTAATAGTGTGGCCTTGTATCCTGACAGCATAGTCCGCTGCTCACAATATCGATCACTGCTCACAATATCGATCACTGGATTGTCTGGTCCAGACTTGATTTACACTGCAGCTTTAAGCAACAAACAAAACAAAATCCTAGGTCATCCCAAATTGCTCAAGAACATCCTCTTGTTCATCTGTATGCATGCCACCTGACAGATAACAGAAGAGCATCATTGTGCTGTAGCTAGGTGTCTGGATAAACTGCATCAAATTTGATTGAACTTTTGGTCCTATGGCAAGAGGGCACAGGTAGGACAAGATGAATTAAGTCTGTCCATAAGCTCACCATATACTAATATTTTTAAATAATGCAGTTAGGAGATTTTCTTTAAAAGTGCTGCTGTCATCTTTCTGAATTTTGTTGTTTTGTCATTTTTGTTATGTAGCCATTTTCTGTTGGTATAAAGTCTTGAATCGGTTGTGTATTTGTGGAACCATAAGATACCTATCTCACTTTGCTCACCCACCATTGTTGCAAGCTATATACCCAATAATTGCTTATACACAATTTGTTAATGCTGGTTTATTAACAAGTTGACCAATATCGGGATAGATGACCAAAAAAGTGGAAGCTACAAAAACGTGTCAGTTTTATTGACAGTTGGTGTTGTTGAAGTGAATGTTCAGTTATATACTTGAGTGAGCTACAGTGCATTGCACTGTTTTTCCCATTGGGAAATATGTCTTCTTTTTATGTTCTTACTTGGAAGGCCCATGAAGATCCGGGGTAGAATAGGTCTTCAGCAATCCATGCTTGCCGTAAAAGGCGACTATGCTTGTCGTAGGAGGCGACTAACAGGATCGGGTTGTCAGGCTCACTGACTTGCATGCATGTAATCATATCCCAATTGCGAGGATCAATGCACTTGATGTCAATCACTAGATTGTCTGGTTCAGACTCTGATTATTTACAGACCTCCATCATATAGCAAGAATATTGTGAGTCCAGCAATAAACAAAAAACAAACAAAACAAATCTTACTTGGGAGGTTTGTTACATTCAAACTGGCATTTGAAATGATAATAGTATAAACAAATCTCTGTAGCGGATTTTAGAATATATGGATTTTTTTTCCTTTCATTGAATAGAGTTTTTCTGAAGAAGCAGAAAAATGCATCAGGAATTAAATCAATGACGTTGAATCTTGCCTATTTTTTAAAGTTTGATCATGTTCATTTTCTTGTTCCCTTGGCTAAACTTTGAACTGTCAGTCATTGTGTTTAAAAAAATAAACTTTATAGCTTTCATCAGTTCATGTGAAAATATTTTCAAAATATCAATCACCAATATAACAAAGTAAGAAATACAATATTCTGTCCATAAACAAGTGGAAACACTCAGTGGTATGAATGTAAGATTGGTGGTGTGCCCAACAGAACTGTAGGAATGGAATTGGACAATGTGACAGGGTAGAGGCCTGTCTGATTGATGAAATAGTTTTTATGAGTCAGCATAGATGCATCTTGCTCTTCTTGCATGGCTCTGTCACTAGCTTCAAAGACGTTCATTTTACGACAAACTTCTAAACATGTCTTTTAGGGAACTTTTGTACATTTTCTCCCTAGAGAAAGACACTTTCCAAAGACTGCAAGCCTTTTCTTTTTCTCAGGACGCCAAAGTTGTAATTTGAGGACAATCTCATGTCATGTTTTTCCTGCTTCAAACGATTTTGAAGATCTTTCAATATCCAGCAGTGACAAACGCTTCTTTTCCTTTGCCTACTCAATTCATGAACCCATCATGACTGCTCCAGCGACACATCCATCTTAAAACTGGGTTCCCAAGTTCGAGCAGACATAAATTTCTGACTCTTCCAGTCTATGCATAAAATATTTTAACCAAAAAAATGTACTTCCAATAAAAACGTTTTCATCTTTGTTGAAACCAGTCATGGAAATAAATGTTCAACAACTCAACAACACTCTTCATTGACTTGTGAAAGTTTCTTTGGAGTTTTCATAAATATTTGCTGAATCGTTAAAACTCCTCTCCCATAACTCTATCATCCAAATAAGGCAATCAAAACAAACAAACGGCATGCTTCATAAACGGAACCTCTAGAATTTGAGATGTGAAAAGTAGACAGAAAAGATGAAGCTCATGATAGCGCGTCTGACTAATAAAGTGTCTGCCCCTCCTGATAGCATCAAGGACGTGCAACTTCCCACCAGATACAAACCAGTTTGTTTCCTCCCTCTCTGTTTAGTTCGAGTTTAGGACTTGTTATCATTTGTAATATACGTTTTTATAAAAATCTTGCCTTTTAATATAAAATAGTGGACATGCGTCTAGTTTATTGCACGAATTTCGGTTCAAAATTAATGGTTCAAGAATTATTGTATGAAATAACTTGTTGGGATATTTTCGTTCTATTTTTCATCACTGATAATTTTGTATGCGCACTCTCATCAATCATATTTTTCAAAATATATTTAAGAACTGAAACTTGAATAATGATTTAGTTTGTGTTTATTGTTGCCATCAGTGGATGTCGGGATAAGAAAGGCTGTGGTCTGTGGAAGGATTCCGGCATAATTGAAAACCAGGATTGGAATGGTTGTAATTTTGAATATTGGTTAATGAAGAAAAAACTTAACTTGAGGTTTGAATCTGGTCCAAAAAGTAACTTGATGACACTGTTTTCTAAAGTCTCTTTTACATGAATTATAAAAAGGAACAAAAGGCATATAATACAAAATAGCATTAAAAACATCTGGCCCAAAAATAAATGCAAATTTTAAAGGTTTACAAAGTTTGTATCGAACTGACATGCACTGATTAAATCTTGAAAAAGATTTTTTGTTCCCTTTTTGTCATTTTAGAAATCATTTATCATCCTTGATCCTGCAATTCACTTGTGCTGGGTGGGTAAGGATTTCGAGGCAAAGATGCCCAGCTCCGTCTAAATGTTTAACAAGCCTAAGACAAAGAAAACTAATGCGATTAAACATGTTGAAAAAATCGTAAGATGAGGAACAGACTTGACAGAATATTAAAGAAATCACTAGGGAGGGAACGACATTTTCCCGTTTTAATGCATTCATAATGAACAAGCAGAGTTTCAATTTCAGTCCGAGTGTCCAAGCGTGGCTCCAAGGTGACACGGAGGCTGTCAAAGACTAATTCATGTAGAATAATACAATTGACCCTTCAGTCCCGTGGCTTGCGTTTTTAAGGCACTGGTTCCCCAATTGATATCATTTTACTATTATCCATTGAATTTCGCCTGATTTATCCATTTTTATATTAGCCAATATCTTCTTAAGGCTAGGTCAGGTTTCTTCTAATGGGAAACACAAACGTAACCATAGGTCTCGTATGCTTGGTAAATGGGTGAAGATGGGAATAAAATTTGATGAATGTTTGAAGTTTGTTTGTTAAAAGAACAATCATGTTATTGCAGTTTGCTTTTTGCCTGTCGACATCTGTTTATCTTTTTTCTTACTGCTGAAGTCACCATGGAAAATATCCCATTTCCTGTTTAATTTCACACTGCTTGCCAAAGACATTCGTAGGAATGATAGTTGAGAATTCATGTGATCGTGTTACCATCACAGTTGCTCAGAATCTGTTATTTTGTGTAAATACGCACTACAGACTTGGATGATCCATTCCCTTTGTACAAAGTAACACACTTGTATCACCTTACAATAAAAATCAGAGAAAATTTGATTATGTTGCTCTGTGACAGCTGACAGAAAATTATTTTCAGAAATTGTTCAATTTCGTTCGACCACAGCAACCTTAATGTATAATTAGGGGTGATTTTTTTTTCTGTCTGAAGATCTTAAAAGAGTAGGTTGGGACCAATGAATTCCGTGCAATTTACGTATCCGATTCCCTTGTCATGCTCAACCAACAAAACCAGAAACCAAAATCTGCATCATTTAACAAAGCAAAGAAGAATTTCCATTATTCCACCATGAAGGCAGTTGGTGGTAATTATATGGGAGAGTGTTTTCTACTTTGATGTGCGAAGTATTAATCATATGGCTATATTATTATCTACAAGACAAATGGCATAGCTCGGACAGGGGATATCAGGTTTCCGGGACTGTCATCCATACACAATAGTCATACAGAAGGATTAATTATTATTGAGGATTTTCTGGAACTGGAGACGGTAAAGAGCGGTGGAGAAATGGCTGTATGATTTGAAACCAATAAGTTGATGCATTTTCTATTGTATGACAGTTACATGTTATGTTAGTTGTTTATTGGTACACTTTTAGCATAAATAGAACATTTTTTGTGCATTTGTACTAAAAATATTTGAACAACTTGTGTACACACGGAAAATAGCCTGCACAAGATGCTACAAGGGAATATGACCCTCACTGTTGGTAGTCACCCTCTCCTTGACCATTTCTCTGTACTGATGGAACTGCTTCTATACATATATTAGTAAATATATTTGATAAAATATGATTGATGAGATGATGCATATAAAATTATCAGTGATGAAAAATGGAACCGAAATGTCTTGACAACAATTATTTCAGAAAATAATTCTTGACCATTAATTTTGACCTGAATTGTCTCATGAATTTGTTACTCCAGATGAATATCAGTGGGAACTGTACAATCTAGATTAACAGTAGTCCATTGTATACAAAACTAGACATTAAAATGCTACTTCCTGTAAACTATGTTAGAGCTGCACTTAAACGTAATAATAAGCCTTATCGTTGACTTTCTGATAATGCACTGATTGTACCTGACCTTCAACATAAATCTCCACGTGTATGTTTTTACATCACCATTATTACAGACAAATGTCGACTTCCCAAAAACTATTCATGAAAAAGGCCATTAAAAACGACCTAGAAAGAAAGATA